TTGCACTTCCTGGCGGCATTTTTTTGGCCTTGCACTTGTCCGTGCTGACGATAGCGATACGAGTCAGCTTGGCCGACATCTTTGCCGAAGTTCCGTTCCGTGGGTCCTGTCGTGAACTGAAGGCTGGCTCCCCCTTGGCTGTTGACTGGTTCAGCCCGAGCCGTCGTAGCCTATCCCTGGTTATACCCGGTTAAGTGCGATTCAAAACGGCAGACTGACCTTGGCGACGGGAAAGTGGATCGGAAACACAAGCTACAGAACGTTAATGTAACTTAAACCAGCAGTGGACAACGCCATCGACGCAAAAAAAGTTGTCGGCATTGGAAAATGAAGCTATATGCACTGGCAAAAATCATGACCCACTTGAGGCTTAACTCTACTGATCTAAGACCATCGAGGATGGTGCTTCCGCCGCCGCAGCATCCTTCTGCTTGGAGACCGACACATTGAGCAGTGCCTGGTCCTTCAGCGCTGCCGCGGCCGGCTCGATGAGCGTGATATTCTGTTCCAGCTCGCGCAGGTCGCGCGCCTTGGCCTTGGCCTTGCTGTCCTTCATACGGTTTTTGTAAAAGGCAGCCTCGCGCTTTTCCTTGATCTGCGTAACGCGTTCGATAGCATGGATGGTAGCGCCCATGAGCTCGCGATCATACTTTACAGCGCGGTGGCGCTGTTTGTCGAAGTCAAACGTCGTGTCCAGGGCCATTTCCTTGCCAGCAGCCTTCCGGAAAGCCTTGGTCCATTTCACCTTGCGCGGGTTGCGCTTGCGGTTGAAGTTCTTGTGGCACTTGGAGCGACAAAAACGGAATATCTTGCTATCATTGCGCACAAAAGTGATGCCGTGGCCTGGGTAAACAGGGCTGGAGCAGAAGTAGCACGTGTGAATACGCATGGCTGCTGGTCGCTTGGGCTGGGGCTGCTCTAGTACTGCCAGAAGACGACTTGCTTCTCTTTGTCAGCAAAAATGCCTGATTGGATGGTTGGCGACGAAGAGTTTCGTGTCGTGGACCACACAGAAATGCATTACGGTAAATATTGATTTGAGTGCAAATTTGTGGTCATCGCCTTCGGATTGGAGAACTTTATAAAAATTACTGAAGTACTACATGTACGTGGTACTTGTAATAAATATTAGTACATGAGATTTAGAATCTAATACTGTTCCGTAGTAAATACTAAACTTCATGTACTACAATATGTACTTCTGTAGGTAATATATCCGATATACTGTATTACCTTTAGAGGAGCTTACTGTACACTCTCTATAAGCGAGCAATGCACGGTGACCCACGAAGTTGCGGTGCTCTCTATCAACAATACCGGTAAGGAATAGCGGGGCACATAGGGCATCTGCTAAACTGTAATTGCTCCCCACCAACCGTCGACAATTGTGGGGTTTCGCCAGCCTTCCTGGTTGGCTTCAGCACATGGTTTTCGCCCAGAAACCCACAACTCTCACTTTGTGGGAAAATCTAAAGACCTCTATTAACCTTTAGCTTTTGTGTGAATGTACGCGTGCTCTCAAACGCGTTGCTGATCCCTGCCTTGAGATCGCTTCCTTCTTCAAAAAAATAGTCGCCTACAGGCAGCTTCCCGGTGCGCGGGTACTGCGGGTCAAAACATTTCTCGCTGAGATTAAACAAAACCGTCCATTATAGCTTGGACAGAATTACCGCACTCGGGAAGAGAGGAGGTCGCTCAGCGCCATCGGGCCCTTCGTCTCGGACTCACGGAGGTCATCTGCAGTTAGCACGTCTTGCTTGACATGCGTAGCCGCCTCCTGCTCCACGTTATCGCGGTGTTGCTTGATACGCTCAGACACAGCGGTGAGGTTTAGATCAGTCACATCGGACATGGTGCTGTCCGCCAAGTTAGGTCGATGAGTTGCGGCGACGACGCCACCTGATCGCGGTCCCGTGGAGTCCACCTCGTCTTCCATGATGTCATTAAACATAATCTGACCGGGTGGGGCACTGGTCTGATCGTACGGAGAAAGCTTGGGTGCGAAAACCTTTGGTGTGTTATCAAGACCCGTATAGTTGCCCCGGCCAGTTCCTGGCGTTTCGATGGTAACGCTTTGCGGCGTAATGTCTCCAGCGTGAAAGCTGTCATCATCCACCATGACACCCTTGCGATCCAAGCTTTGGCTGCAAATTGGTCCAGCGAACTGGATAGGACTGCCGCTCTTCTTTTGGGCTGCGGTTGAGCTGCGGCGCCCACGATTAAGCGCACTGAGGTAGGTGCTGCCGCGCTTCTGGCGCATAGTTTCTTCATGCATGCTGAGCATGGCAAACTCCTCGGCGTCATCGTCGCTCACAACCGCCACGCCGCCTGCGGAATTCATTCCTGTGCTTGAAAAGCCGAACATACCACGGCCCTTCTTGGAGTTGTTGCGTTTGTTAGCAGTAGCCTCGGGGTTGCGGTCAATTTTGGATCGCAGCGTCACAAAGCCGATGACTGCCAGAGCTACGACCACAATGCCACTGATGACAAGCACTCCCAGTCGTGCAAATAGGCAACAATAAGCCGTCACGTAAAACCTCCCGATAGTAATCGGCCAAAATACACAGTCTCTTGGCCTTGCCGGATGAACCCTCGCTACAGAGCTTTGAGTTCACCGACAGGCATAACACACTTCAAACAAGCTTGACCAGACGCTTACCTTGAAGCCGGGCCGTTGCTCTGTGTGCTTTGAGTGGAAATTCTGTTCTGTATTTAAGCTTCCCCTCTCGGGTCTATTCTTAATAAGAAGTCCTAATCAAGTATACAAATATCAAGTGAGCAATAATCCGTTATGGATCTTCTTTCATGCCAAGCGTCGTCTGCACCGTCGCATGAGCATCATTAACGGTCCGCGCCTTGTCCCAGACGGAGAAAAAATCTTCCAAGGGTGGCTGAGTCTTTCGCGAACTCATCCCACCCCCCCCTCAGGGTTAGTACCGTAGATTGTTTTTTTTTATATATAACACCCCACCCCCATTATTAATTATAAGGACACCCCCGATTCAGTGACATAGGCCCGTATCCGATCCTTGTTGAAACCTCGGAGG